GAGGAAGGAAGGAAGGAAGGAGAAAATGCAGTCAAATCCACGTTGCAGAGCTCAGCTGTTTAATCAGCAAACCTTGAGTTACAAAAATGGGTTTTTTTCTGGTGATGTGGTTTAGTAGTTAGTTGTGTTGTCTTTTGCCAGCTCAAATATGAGCTGGCTGCCCCAAATTAAACCGTCTCAGTAGTGTTTCGCAATTAAAAATCGGTTTTCGGAATATGTACAAGAATTTTGACCGCCTGACAGTAACCTGTAAATCTGGCGTGACTGTGGACGTGTTAATAAGTAAATGTTGATCAAATTATGTCGTGTTTGATATCATTTTCATCAGAAAAATCTCATCAATATTTAAAAAAAAATTCCAGATGATATTTAAATCGCTTGGTTGCCTCGACTGACGTTTCATGCTTATCTTTTATTCGCTGTCCTTGGCAAACTACAAAGGCGAGCGCGAGGCTCGAAAACGTAGTCCCTGACTCTACGAGTGTCAGGTTTAGCTTCCTTGCGGTCTGACACTTGTGGAGAATATACTGTAATTGACATAGATCTATAAAACGTACGTTTTAAATTTTCACTACAAAATCAGATAAGAAAGTTATGAAAGGTTACCTTTACAATTTTCATCGCTATTCACACAAATTGCAATTTAAAAAAATTTTTTATACACACCATCTATAATAGTAAACTATTCCTTCTAACTTCTAAAAAAAAAAAGTCAAGTCAATTTTAAAAAAGTCATACCGTTCTAAAGACTGGCCGGATATTAATGAGCGTAACTTCATATAATAATATGGATATTATTTTTACACTATTTATATCAATATTGTATATAATATCAGGTAACCAAAGAAATTCTGGCATTTTCTACTGTCGAAAAAGAAAACGAATAAAATAATTTACTCCGACACTCAGAGAGCTTTTTCCAACGGGAAGCAAGCTTATAAATGCGATTTTCATAAAATTATGATAACAAAAACGAAGAAAGTATTGTAATAATAAAAACAAGTTAGACGAGCATAATTTTAACATTTATATTATAACTCTGTGATAAAAGTGTTGTGTTTCCCCTTCACATATAATTGTTCGTATCTTTAAAAGTAGAGAATCAATCCTCGATCGTTCAAATTTGAATCATCCTGTAGTTTTCCCGGTTTCATCATCTCTCTCTCCTTATTCGTGAGATATTCAGAAGTGTGCCGTGGAAAAATTCCAATGGTGGTTGAATATAACGTAATCACGGAAGAAACGTGGTCTCGTTTAAGTGACGACGAGCAGGTCGTACCTTGTGATAATTGAAAAGCGTCGTCTTTGTTGATTCTTATTTGACGAGAATCCCCGAACACCGTAGCAGTTCTAATCGATATTTGTTTAAGTTTTCCACCAGTAGCAGCTGCTGCTGCACGGAAAGGAATGGAGAGAGGGGGGCTACAGGACGATTTTAACCGGTGATTATTCCCAGAGAATCCTCTTTGGATCGTTCCTCCGCATTCAGGATTGATCGCGCGTGCCGAGCCTTAGGCCGCCTTCACACAGCAATGGAATTGAACGATCGCGGTAGACCGCATCCCATGACGATCGATCGAAAGGGAATCACTTTGGGGACGGGTGCAATCGGCTTGGAAATCGGATGCTTCCGCTTTTGCTTTGACGCCTGGTTTGGTTTTGAGGGATATCAATTCGTCTTCGGTACTTAATTCCGCCATTTTTGCCGAGAGGATTTTATTTTATTGGTTCTCCGAACAGAGAATTATGAAAGAATTATTTTTTTTTTGGTGAAAAATGTTTTTGACTTTGATAAAAGAAGACCGATGGAATTTAGATTGAAAGTCTGTGATTTTTTGAATGGAAGGTTGATATTCAAAGTGATTTCGAGTCGATGAATGTGAAAAGGCTTCATTTTCTATTGTATAGGGTGTAACAGATTTTATTGGATTTTTTTGAGAATTATTGGGTAGTTGCGGTTGATGTGAACGCGGCCTAAAGCACCTTTTTTTTATCTTGCACCAAACGCTTTCCACGGTGGAGAAAATGCATGAATGAAGTTCTCATCAAGGAAGTTAAACGCCGCGTTTAAAAGGTTCCGAAGGTAAACAGGAAAGGACGCGAGGGATTGTTAAGGCGCTAAACGAACCGCTGTCGTTTCTAGAACAAAAATTGACACAATTGTGCTAGCGGCAAATAGAAACGAACCGCTGCTCTTTGATCTTCTCATTCAGCAAAATAATTAAGATATTAATATTTAAAAGATTGGAAAAATTTCACAACCTGTTAATGTTCAGAAATTTTTAAAACAAATTCCCAGTTCCTTAATTTTCCAAAAATTTTGCAATCCTTCATCATCCATAAATCTTCAAACCCTTGAAAACAAATACCAAGTCTTCTTTAAAACTCACAAAAATTCTTAAGAAACTCTCAAAATACCACAGTTGATAATTATTCACAAATCTCTGTAATCTCCAAGAGAGATTCCAAGACTTCCAAAATCCCTCCCCAAACACTCTCAAACTCTTCATCATCCATAAATGTTCAAATCCTTGAAGACAAACTCGAAAAGCCCTTCAGCCATAAACCCGTCAAAAATCTGCAGAAGGAAGGAACTCCAGGTTCCTGAACTTTTAATTAATATTAGGAACACCCGGAGCCATAAGTACGTCCTATAAACAACGGAACAGTGGCCCGTGCTTGTCGTAAACCTTCTAGGTCCAACGCTCTCCCGTCCTTAACATCTGTTGGCTCCTCTAACTTCGTGGACGTAGCTTAACCCGTTCTCGTAATTGTTTCAGGACCTGATGACGAAGAACAAGCAGAGGAATTGGCGGCGTTTGCTGGCCGGCTGCTTGGTCGCCGTTGTCGTGCTCGGCCTAGTCGTCGCTGCGGCAATTCTTCTAACCGGAAGCCCGGATTCCTCTGGCACGAGACCGCCAGCTGCACCTGGTATTTCCCTTGAAGAATGGCTCGCGGGTTCGTTATCTCCGAAGAGCTTCAACGGCACGTGGATCAGCGGTAAGTATCCTTACATTTCTTTCCATCATCAGACATGGAGAACTTGAAGAATTGCAGATCCCCGTCACGTTTCATTCCTGAAATCCGAATTATACAAAACGCTTGCAGAACTCCACGAACACTGTTTGTTTCTGGGAATGATGCGATTTCTCTGAGGGGAATTAACGAGTTTCTTCTTTTGGTAAAGAAGATTGCTAATTTTCAGTTAGATCTTGCCTAAGTTAGGTTAGGCAGTGAATCTATGAATTGAAGTTTAGACTTTGCTGTATTATTACAGTCCTCTGTTAAGGCGTAAACTAAATTATTAGATTTGCTACAGACCTCTAGAATCGTTAAAGACATTTACTCTTGATTTCTAATTTTCATCACCCTAACTTTAGCTCGACACACTATCTTCTTCACTTTGAACACACAACTGATAAGTATAGAATTCCAATGTTCGCGAGACACTATTTTATACATCAAACCATTTTCATTTCTGAAATTACTCACACAAAGTTCATTTAATCTGTGAGCTACGAATAATATTTTATTAACATCCTCAAAGATATCCTCAATGTCAAACAAATTTATCGCTGTTTAACGTTAACGACCAACTGGAATATTTATCGATTAGCTTTTTCGAGATCCAGGGGAGAGTGAATTAATCGAAAAATAGTCGAGCCGTGATTAACTTCATTACGTGACTATCTGCTCATCAAGGCGTAATTCAATGATTGTTGAAAATGATGTTTGCCATACGTAATGCTGCAAATCGATAGGCTCGTATAAGCAGAGGGAAATTAACGTCGTGCCATCCGGTACACAGGACGTGTACGCTAGATACAGCCGGCATCGAAACCCTCAATTTGCGGCAATAGCCTGAGCCTCTCGCAGCAAGGGACGACTCGGCAGATCCATGATCCCTCGCTCGCTAATTACTGCCTACGTCAAATTCCCCCCCTTCTACCGATTGCAAACTGCTGCGTCGGACAACCGCAATAAAGATTTCACCGATTAATCGGGATTTCGGCTTGTGGAATCTTTGTCGACGATCTCTACCGTTGCCTCCATTGTTTAGGCGTTACGAGCTTCACAGTGCACTTTCAGATTAGGTGTAATATCCTCTATTGGCTTTTCTTCAAAAGTAAAACAACGCTTGGTTATATTAGCTTTCCACTATTCGTGGAATTGAATCATTAAGGATTTATATTCTTAACGTATTAATATATTCTTAATTTTGAGAATGAAGATAAATAAAGTTCTGAGTA